CAAGGATCCTCACACTGAGGACAAGGTTCCTCACGCTGAGGACAAGGTTCCTCACTCTGAGGACAAGGTACCTCACACTGAGGAAAAGGTGCCCTACACTGAGGACAAGGTTCCTCACGCCTAGGACAAAGTTGCTCAAGCTGAGGACAAAGTACCTCACACTGAGGACAACGTACCTCACATTGAGGACAAGGTTCCTCACGCTGAGGACAAGGTTCCTCACGCTGAGGACAAGGTACCTCAAGCTGAGGACAAGGTTTTATCACACTGAAGACAAGGTTCCTCACGCGGAGAACAAGGTTCCTCACGCTGAGGACAAGGTTCCTCACGCTGAGGACAAGGTTCCTCAAGCTGAGGACAACGTTCGTCACGATGACGACAAGACTCCACACGCTGAGGACAAGGTTCCTCACGCTGAAGACAAGGTTACTCACGCAGAGGACAAGGTTCCTCACGCTGAGGACAAGATTCTTCACGCTGAGGACAAGGTTCCTCACGCTGAGGACAAGATTCTTCACGCTGGGGACAATGTTCCTCACGCTAGGACTAGGTTCCTCACGCTGAGCACAAGGATCCTCACGCTGAAGACTAGGTTCCTCACCCTGAGGACAAGGTTCCTAACGCTGAGGACAAGGTTCCTCACGCTGAGGACAAGGTTCCTCACGCTGAGGACAAGGTACCTCACGTCGAAGAGAAGGTTGCTCACGCTGAGGCCAAGGTTCCACACGCTGAGGACAAGGTTCCGCACGCTAAGGACAAAGTTTCTCACGCTGACGACAAGGTTCCTCACGCTGAGGAAAAGGTTCCTCACGCTGAGGACAAGATTCCTCACGCGGAGGACAGAAACTTTTTCAGAAAATTTTTCAAGTTAATCTTGAGTTCATTTAGGGCCCAATAAGTATACGTTTACACTACAGGGTGTATCAAAAAACTTGCAAACACTATAATTTGCATAAGTTTGCTGCTTACTAGCATTTCAATGTCTGTGCTATTTATTTTGTTCCTGGGATTTGAAAATACATTCGAATTAACCGCGTTGATAGAAATTAGAATAACACGAAGTTATTTAATTTGTAATGCAGAAAACTAATGATCAGTTCGACTGCGAATGGGTCAACTATCGTCTTTACGCACGCTTGGGATCAATAGTTCTGAATGTAATCATGCAAATTCTAAAAACATTGTATTTCGAAGGGTTTGCAGGTTTTTTATACACCCTGCAGAGCAAACGTTTTCGGATTCGCAATGTATCCAGGGTGTTTTTATGTCGGATTCGTTTTGCCGTTTACACTAATGAACATGAATCCAGTACGAAATGATCAGAGAGAGAGTCTAAATCTGGAACTTTCGAATCCGGAAAAGTTTGCGAGAACTTCGTATCCGAAACAATATGAATGCGGAGAGAAAACTCTCGTGTAAATGCTTTCTGTAAAGAATCCGAATCAATTGACAATTTGAATGGAATGAGGAAAAAGAAAACCCGGAATGAGAAAAGTCGGAATCTGTAAATCCCGGAATGAGAAAAGCTGGATTCTGTAAAACTCGGAATGGAAAAATCCGGAATCACAGGGGACTCAACTACTGTCAGTAAGTGTAAAATAATCAAAATAATAAATTTACTTCAAAATATTTGCGTAAATTATTCGCAAGAATGTCAGTAGAGAAAGAGCAAAATTACTATCCTCAACAGGTAAATAATGCGGGCGCGTATGAGGAAATATTAAAGACCTTACGATTTTAGGACGGCAACGCGACGGCGACGGCCAAAACAAACTCCTTCAAATAAATGGTAGTAAAGATAGTTTTATGAACACCGCGGAAAAACGTCTGCGCATGCGTCAACCTTACCTGTAATAGTATAGCGAACTTGATGAGAAGCTGTTCCGAACGTTTCCGAAGGCTCAAAATGGCGGTAAAAAGGAGTGACTTCATTGTGCGCCTTTACAGCCAGATTTCGAGAGCAAAAATAAACATGTCATTCTAAAAACTAGGAATAAATACAGCCGGAAGGTTCAAGAAATTGTATCGTACAACAATATATACTAAAGGTGATTGTTGACAAATTTATCGTCTGAAACATTTTGCTTATCAACTAAGCAACGACAATCCCCGAATTTTCTTTTGAGATACATTTCTTTAACAAAACTGTGTCGCCAAATATAAAAAATTTTCGTGTTCAGAATAATTAAACTTTAGGATTTGTTCTACAATTTGAGTGGGTTAAGAAGCTTAACTTTTCGAGAGTTTTCTTAACTTTTTAGTTTGAATTTTTGTTTTGAATAATTTTGCAAAAATTTTCGAAGTCGTGTCCATTAAAATCAACATTTTTTTTACATGAATTATATTTCATTCCATACTTTAATTAAATGCCAGGGCGCTTTCAATTGATGTCTATTCTACCCATTTGCTATATTTTCTCGTTTGTTTTTCTAATTTTGGACCAATTAATAAGCATGTTTTTGTTTTAGAAATTGATATTCAAGTTCCCCGCCATAATTTCATAATTTGGTGCATGCGCAGACGTTTTCCGCGGTGTTAGTTTTATGGCATCCATTGATCTGAAAGATGCGTACTATTGTGTCCCAATAGCAAGCTTACACCACAAATATCTAAAATTTGAGTGGAATGGGTCACTGTACCAGTTAACTTGCTTCCCCAATGGCCTAGCCTGTTGCCCACGCAAGTTCATAAAACTAATGAAGCCAGAATTTTGTTACCTCAGGAAATTGGGTCACCAATCCTCCCCTTACATTGATGACTCATTACTAACAGGTCAAACCTATGATGACTGTGCAGATAATGTGATTGACACAACACAGCTCATAGATAACTTGGGGTTTATAGCTCACCCTGACAAATCTGTCTTCATCCCCACTCAAGAATTAGACTATCTTGGTTTCACACTGAACTCCAAAACTATGCGGGTGACTGTAACACTTGGAAGAAGTTGAAGCTCATAGAAACATGTAAGGAACTCCTTACGAAAGAATAGCCTACTATCCGTGAGGTTGCTAGGGTAATAGGCTTTCTCATCTCAAACTTTCCAGGTGTTGCAATGGGACCACTATATTACAGACTTTCCGAAGCTGACAAAAATTGCAGCACTTAAACATAACTAAGGAAAGTTTGATGCCACTATGCAACTCTCGGCTGAAGCCAAGGAAGAACTTGTCGGCTGAAGCCAAGGAAGAACTTGTGTGGTGGATAGATAACATTGACACTGCATTCAACCCAGTCCATAGAGGGAAACCTAACATAACCATACAGACAGATGCTTCAAAACTGGGATGGGGATGTGCATTGGGTGACAAAACAACTGGTGGTCTCTGGGCCCAAACTTAGTCTTACGAACACATTAATTACTTAGAAACACTAGCAGTTTTTCTGTCACTTACATCCTTTCGGCATATTCTAAGTGGCAACCATGTAATGATCAGTAATGTAATGTAATGTAATGTAATGGTAGATAATACCACTGCTGAAAGCATCATAAGAGAAATGGGAACCAGCCATAGTGCTAAATTAAATCACCTAGTAAAACAATTTTGGCAGTGGTGTGGAAGCCAGAAAATATGGATAACAATGGCACACATACCAGGGGTTGAAAACTGTCAAGCAGACTTTCAGTCTAGGTCTTTCAATTGGGGGACTGAATGGTGCCTTAACAAAGACATACTTACCTTGGCATGTAACATGTTCAGGTTTACCCCTGACATTGATCTATTTGCTTCCAGAATCAACCATCAATTCAAACGCTATGTAGCATTTAGACCAGACCCTGAAGCAATTGCCATTAGTGCTTTTCACATGACATGAGCTCAATTTGCTTTCTATATGCCTTCCCACCATTTAGCGTGATAATGCAAGTGCTACAGAAAATCCAAGAAGATCAAGCCTCAGGGATCCTAGTGATCTCATATTGGCCAACACAGATATGGTGGCCGAAAGCAATGAACATGATTGTCCAACAGCCAATTGTCTTGCCAAAAAGCAAGTAACTATTATCCCTCCCCAATCAACCCAACGAGATACATCCCATGTACCAAAGCTTTGCCTGCTGATATGCCACTTGTCGGGGATCAGCTCAAAAAGCAGGGATTTTCGGACACAGCTTCAAGAGTCATCCAAAACTCTTGGCGAACAGGGACGAAAAAGCAATATGCTTGCCACATTAAGAGATGGATATGCTACTGTAGTAAAAGGGATATTAATCCCATTTGTCCTGATGTGAGAGATGGCATTGATTTTCTCGCAGAACTTCTGGACTCGGGTGTGGGGTACAGTTCCATCAACACCGCACGATGTGCACTTTCATCAATAACAAACATGTCTAGTCATTTTGGCTTTGGTACACACCCTCTAGTGTCCAGGTTCCTGAATGGAGTTTTCACAGAGAGACCAAGTCTGCCGAGATACCAAAATATATGGGACATGAACATTGCCTTAAATCACCTTAAACAGTCTAAAATTGCCAAAGAACTGTCACTGAAAGACTAAACTCTAAAGCTTGTCATGCTAATGGCACTTTTGTCTGGGCGCCAGACTCTGCAATCATTAAGGCTTTTCCTCTGGACAAACAATTATGTGTCCTACATCACCTGTTGGAATATATACAACGCACAAAGGGAATCAGGGAAAACACAAAACAGCTCCGTGTGGCTCACCTAAAGCCCCACGTCTTACAACAGGCAAAAATTGACATTTCAATATTTAAAGCTCATAGCACTAGAGCTGTCGCCACATCAGCGGCAAACCTAAATCAGCTACCTATAGATATTGTCATGGTTAGTGCTGGTTGGTCAAGTGAAAATGCGTTTGCAAAGTTCTACAAAAAGCCCATCATTGACCAAGACATCAATTTTGGTGAAACTTTATTAAACTCTGTTTATGTTAATGTTTAAACTAACATACTGTTAGACTGTTGAATATACCACACAAATTTCTAGTTGTTACTACGTACACATTGGTTTTGTACTGCATGTTATACAATAAATGTTTGTTCCAGAATTTGTAGTGATTGCACGGCTTTGAAGTCTCATGTGACTCCCTAGTGACGTAACTGATGACGAAATAGAATTTAAAAATTAAACTTCAACTTACATGTAAGTTGAAGATTGATTGTAATTCTATGAGTTATCAGTAAGGAACTAGGGAGTCATCCACCCAATACTATATGTGGCCAAACTAGAGCAGGCAAGCACCCTTGGTGGGTGCAATCACTACTGCTTCAAAGGCTGAATACTCGATCTGCGCATGCATATCTCATGTGACTCCCTAGTTCCTTACTGATAACTCATAGAATTACAATCAAGCTTCAACTTACAGGTAAGTCTCGTTTAATTTTTAAATCTTTCGAGACATGGTCTGGAAACTTACTAAACTTCAAAGTGATTTTAATGAGCTGGGATTCTATGTTGAGCCGTACATTACACCGTGCACATCCTTTGTTTTAATTTTATTAATATTTAAATAGCATGGTTGAATGACTGAACTGAAACGTTGCTATTGGACGATCGTTCACTATACTGGAATTCAATGTGTTTATTGACCTTGCACCGTGCACAAAACTGCATGAACGCGAACAAAAAGATAGAACAAATACTTTAGCGGACTTTCCAAACCATGTTTTGAAAGACTAGCTATGTTGTAACCAATAATCTGTTGGCGTTGTAAAGCCATTATAGGATAGATAAATTAATAGTAGAAGGGTCGAAACATCGGTCACGTACGTGATTGTTCGATGTTTTCCAAGAGTAGTCTATCCACTCGGAGATTTCCGATCGCAGTTCGGAAATGCATCTGAAAGTTATTTTTGATTATAGAGCAATTTCTGATTATACAGTAAAGAGCAATTTCTGATTACTTACATTTAATAAAACTTAATATTGAAACTATAGCTTATATTTCCAAAGACTTTTAATGCCTTCAACCAAGAGCAACTGAACTCCTACGGACCGTGTTTAACAGTCTTGCATGTATATTAGGAAACGCGCTTAAAAAGATGCAGGTTGTATTAATTTGCATTGCAACTTAATAGGTTCTACTTCTTCAGAACTAATTTGGCGTAAATATGTATAGCATCTTCAATTAATTTCATGGTTACATGTGCTTTTATATAGGTTGCTGTGAACAGTGTTATTCATAGCACATCAAGATTACTACAAACTGTACTGGATTCTAGTGCAGTTAAAAGTTTGGTTGATGCACGGGGTAATCATGATCCTGAAGAAAAATATTTCTCTGAAGCAATAACTGAAACTTTTAGAAATGTGACAAGTCTATTTTCTGAATTGGATACAAAATTTCGGCAGGAATAATGTATCAAGAAGAATTTGAATTATGTTGACTACCGTGAAGAAGTTCTTGGTACTAAAATTGAACAGATTCGTAAGAAAAACAAGTGCATCGTAGTAAGCAAATATGAGTCATTAAGAGGGAATCTCCACTATCACCGAGCAACTGGTGGCACATGATGAAAAATGAAATGTTTTCTTATTTTGTCCAGTGATACACTAATGTATACTTAGAAACGTGATGGGGTTTGTTTTCTGAAATATTATTTTAAACGCCGAAAAAT